AACTCATCGTGGTCGCTTACACTGCAAATCGTAGTCCAACGCTTTCCTTATCGTGTAATTCTCAGTCCTCTCCAGCACCTGCCATTGCAGTCGCTGCTTTCAGCTGAATGGGAGCCGTCTGTATGACCGCTCCGACGTTTCTGACTCTATCCAGACGAGCCGAAGCGCAGGCCCATCTCAGCATCCTCATTTTAGCAGAGTGAAGTCGTTTCCATTGTTTCATGGCATTTATTCGGGCCCTTACCGCCTGGTCGGCCAACTGCGTTATCGTTCTCCGGTACTGGAAGTCCTCCGTTCTTTTGATGCTTTCGCTGTAGTGTGGTCCATGATGGGTTCGGTGCACTCTTCGGAGCTCAGGAACCTGGTTTTCTTTAATTCAGCGGGGGTCCATTCTCAGCGAGCACATCCGGCCCCCGCTGCATCTTGCTCTGTTCTTCCCTGCTATCCGCTATCAGAGCAATGTGGTCAGCGTAGAAGATGGTTTTCTTTGCTACACCCCTCCCACTGCCACGTTTTTTGCCATGAAATCCAGAGCCAGAAGGAAGAGGAACGGGCTCAGCGTACCCCAACCGTGATGTCTATCGCCTTTGTCGAATCTTGTGTACGGAATTCTGATAGCGAACAGCATGCATTCTGCTCATGTATTACTGTATTCGCGATACTTGATCAAAATTGGTGCGCATACGCTCTCATTTTCAGCATTCATGCGATTTACAACCATAGTTGTGCACGAAAGGTCGTATATGGAAGCGCACATATGCTTTGTTGCATACTTCGTGCACGCTTCGAGCACATCCAGCATGTGCTCAATTAGTAATTTACTTCAGTATGCATCGTGCATAGCCGACCCTGCAAGTTTCGTTGTCATAGGTTGTGCACGTTTTGTTGTTAGAGTTCGAGGACGTTTTGTGCACATGTATTTATTTCGTGCACATTGCGTGCGCATTCAACTCGTGTACGGTTCAAGATTTTTTCGGTTGACAACGTCGCCATTCAGCGAGACGATGTTAAGAGGTATGGCATGGCAGGGCACATCAATGGTTGGGGATCTTGGTCGAGTCCGTGCGACTCCCCCTAGGAAGTGGCTTGATACGAGCCCCGTAGTTCTCTGCTCTGATACGATCGAGCTGTCGAACAGGAGGGGGTAGGGGAGAAATTTCTCTCAGAAGGCGAGTTCGACCCCCTCTGCCAAGGTTCGCACTGACTTCATCATCTCACACATCACGATGCTGTACCTTGAAAGCGGGAGCGCGGAGCAGAAGATTCGTGTGGCGGTGACAGGCTTTTCAGCCCGCGCCGTAGCGTGACGGTCTAATCCGTCATGCTGCGAGGTGCAAATGTCGCGCAGGTGGCGAGCAAGATGGTGACGTCGCTTTTCGTCGCGCAGTTTATACTTGGGCGTTCTGCTCCTCACTTTGTATGAGGACAGAGGACAATACCAGACGATCTGGCCCATAACCAAAACTGGTCTCTTAAGAACTACTTATTGTCAAAAAAGAAGGCTTCAATATAATACGATTGGGATCATTTGGTGGCTGTTGTTACGATCGTTACAGCATGTAGTGCCCACCATCACATTTCTGGCTTCTTATTACGTATACTGTCGTGAATTCGTGACATATCTGCTGAATGGGCATGCGTAGAGCTGTGCTATCAATAATTGTGCGCAACATACATACAGTCCTCATCATTGCGGACCGGTGGGGCGTGTCAGTGCGGCTGCGTTTGGCGCGGTGCCAAAGTCGTTCTGCACCAGTTGTTGAAGCGGGCAAGTGACATTACTGTATTATATCCTTCGTATTACTCGTTTTCTACCACTTTTTGTCGCATACGCGTTTCAGCAAAAAAGGCTGAGAACGGCTTCAACAGTGTGCACACTCATACTGGCTGACACGCCCCACCGGTCCGCAGCAGTGATTGATGGACTTTGTGCTTAGCGAGCGTACGATTTTTTTGTCGTAATTCACGCACACATTGTGCATACCTAGAACGTGCACGACTTATCGTCATAGTCCATGCACATCTTAAGGGATACCTAGCGTACAGGCGGGGACGGCAAAAAAGTCACTTTGCTTCATTGCACTTTCGGGCGCGTATTAAGTTACACTTTGTAAAATTCTGATCGACATATTCTAAGCCCAGCCATATTAAAGAGCATATTAAATACTATCACGACACTCCGCCACAGCCTTCTGGACGAGCGCCATCGAGAGATTCTGGCACGCGACCGCGATGTGGTGCCTGAGATCAGCGAGATAGTCGATTTCTCCGCCACCGTAGACCACCCTATTGAACTCCTCTTTGAAACTCGGGTAAATTGAGGGGATTCAGTTCAGGTGATCTACTTGGATATTTCCATCTTCTTTAGGTACTCAGCCCCCTTCCATTCCAGGTAGGCGAGAGTTTCTCCAACGCCCTTCGATTCCACGTGGTGGCACCCAATGCTGTAGCAGTACAAAGTTTCCAAGAAGGTACGGGCGACGACATGTGGGGAAGATATTCTTCTTGAGTTGGTCGATGTAACCGCCAGCGCTCAGCTTCAGCCCGGGGTCCACGAAGAAAATATTGGTCTTTCCATTCCAGGTGCGTCCGGTCCATACCATCAACCCGCGCCTTGGCGACTGCCGTGAAGATGATGTCCTAGACCGTAGCGACGTTGTCGGAGCTGCTCGATGATTGGAGGTCATTCCAGATCGAGAGTACTGGTCTCCAGGTAGCTACCCATATGGGTGACTCAACACTAGAATTTCCCAGTCAGGCTTGGCGACTGAGATGGATTCATACCTTGGTGTACTATAAAGGGTTAATGGGTGAGGGCCAGAGAGCTCCTGCTTGTAGAGGAACATCTTGGGTATCTTCCGCCTGGTACTCGTATCCACGTCTTCTCTCTGGGCTGCGAAAACTTTGCTGATATGTGACTCGGTCGAAGTGACTTTTTTTGCTGCTC